ATTCTAACACAGACACAGTCACTCACACCTGTAAACTATAGGCATTCTAACACAGACACAGTCACTCACACCTGTAAACTATAGGCATTCTAACATAGACATAGTCGCTCACACCTGTAAACTATTGTATTCTAACACAGACATGGTCACTCACACCTGTAAACGATAGGCATTCTAACACAGACATGGTCACTCACACCTGTAAACTATAGGCATTCTAACACAGACATGGTCATTCACACCTGTAAACTATAGGCATTATAACACAGACATGGTCACTCACACATGTAATCCCAGCACTCAGGAGGCTGAGGCAAGATAATGGTGAGTTCAAGGCAAGCCTGGGCTACACAGAAGGAAGGAAAATCAGCCAAGTGTGATGGCACACACCTTTAATCCCAGCACTAGGGATACAGAGATAGGGAGATCTCTGTGAATTTAAGATCAGCCTGGTCTACATATACAGACCCTATCTCAAATTTAAAGGCGGGGGAAGGGGACTGTAAATTTCAGATACTAAACATTAGAACAAATCAGAACCTTTTCCTTTGCTCTAAGAAGTATGCTCTTTTAACTGTATTTTCCCCATTATTCTGGAAATTAAGTAAAGCCATCTCTTGGTACTTTTTAGGAAAACTTAAAAATGAGTTATTTTCTAAGAACCCTTTACATATCAGGTTTGGGAACTTAATATGACTATTCCCTAGAAGGAATACATGGGGATCAGACTTATCCTGAAAAAAAGGAATCTATAGAGGTTCAGTTTACCCTGACAGCATAGCTAAAAGATGTCAGGAAAATGTAGCCCAAAACAAAACTGCTTTCATCCTAGCTATTAAACAAAGTGGAAAGTCTATTTAATAAATGTTTGTTGTTTTTAAATTCACTAAAGGGAATGGATTTCATTGGAAGAGGAAACAAATGTAGACAAGGCATTTGGGGATGTTCTGGAGAGGACATCTGAGCTTTGTCAAGCTTGTCGAAGGCACTCGCCACCAGTTCCATGTAGCAAAAGAAAAGCTGTTTCCATACCAGTGATAAAGGAAATGGAAAGTTAAATGGAATAAAAAAGAGTTTCTTAGTCTTAAATGCTCCAGGAATAGTGGGTTCGATTAGAAAAGCCAGCACATAGAGATGAAGTGTTTGTGAACATTTGGAAAGGACTTTTGAGCTTTCCCAAGGTCTTTGCAAGATGTCACACCAGTTCTGTGCTGGGACATAATTTCACTTGAATTCTAACAACATGGTTGTGATTGCACTTAACCTACAAATACACAAAGTATTATGTGTCAGTTAATATATACATATATATATATATATATATATATTACATTTTTAACAAGTTGCTTTTAATTTCCTGTAGGTATCTGTGTGTGGATTATGTGCACATGAGTGAACAAGCATGCAGAGGCCAGAAAAGGGTATCAGACACCCTGGAGCTGGAGTTACAGGCAGTTGTGAGATGCTGAAACTGTAGGTGCTGAAAACTGAAATGGTATTCTCTGAAAGAACAGCAAGTGTCCTTAGTCACTGAGCCCTATATTACATTTTTAATACAAAGAGTTAAATCTCAAATAGCAGACAATTAGTACAAACAAGAGCCTTTTCCTTTGGTTATTGCAGCGATGCCAGACTTCAGCTCTGGCCTTCTTAATAACCTTCCAATTCTTGTCTTTGTGTTGTTAAGGTCCTGTGTGGCCCAGGCTGGCCTCACACTCATGCTATTGCTTCCTCTGTCTGTGTGGTAGCAGTATAGGCCTCCACACTACAGCAAGCTCTGTTAACTGTGTTCCTATCAACAATGGTAAGAGCAGGGCATAGTGGCTCACACCGTTAATCCTCGGACTCCGGAGGCAGAGGCAGGCAGATCTCCATGATTTCAAAACCAGTCAAGGCTACATAATGAGACCCTGTCTCAAAAAAAAAAAAAAAAAAAAAAAAAACCAATGAGAAGAGTAACTTCTAACTTACAATTGAAATGGAAGACAAGCAATGATAGTGATAGGTTTTTCTAGAGGTAACTGAGCATGCTCTGGAAGAACAGAAACGAGGAAGGCAGGAAATGAGGGAAGACAGGAGAGAAGCTGATTAAGACAGAAGTATATACACACAAGAAAGGAGAACCTTGACGCCCACTTGTTAATGGGTGAGGGGGGTAATAAGCACAAGCATGTGCAGGTGTGTGTGGAGGCCAGCGGTCAAAGTCAGATACCTTCCTCTATGGCAGGGTTTCTCAACCTTCCCAATGCTATGATCCTTAAACACAGTTCCTGATGTTGTGGTGACGACCCCGCCCCCAACCATAAAATTATTTTTGTTGCTACTTCATAACTGTAATGTTGCTACTGTTAAGAATTATAATGTAAATATCTGTGTTTTCTGGTGGTCTTAGGTGACTCCTATGAAAGGGTCATTCAACCCCCGAAGGGGTTGTGACCCACAGGTTGAGAACCACTGCTCTATGGCTCCCCCACCTTATTTTTTGAAACAGTGTCTCTTACTTAACCTGAAACTCACCATTTTGGCTAGACTGAGTAGCAGTGAGTGCCAATGATCCTCTGGACTCCACCTCCCAGGGCGTACACCACCATGCGCAGGGTTTCGAGGTGCTGGGGGAGTACCCTCAGTCCTCATGCTTGGTCCGTAGCACTTCATAGACGGGGCCATCTCCCCAGGCCCTGTTGCTTGGAGTTTTTACTTGTTGAGGTTTTGTTTATGAAAGTGGGGGAGGGAGAGACAGAGAAAGAAGCAAAAAGCAAAAAAAGATAAAGGAGCAGAACAGGATGTATTCTTATTACTCTTTCATGTAAATCGGCTTTCTTCATCTCAACACTTCTTTTGAAGGGAAAACAAACCCAAATGCAGGATGATGCGTGTGATTCCTGAAATGTACGCTGTTGCGGGCTTACACTTCTGCAGTAATCAGCACTGAGGACAGGTAGAACATCAGCCAGGTTTTTTTGCATAAAACCACAGTGGTCCAGCTATGTCGCTGCAAAACATTTTTTTGTTTATACTTTGGCCTTGCAGGACCTATGCAAATATTGAGCTGATAATGCACTGCATAAAATTCAGTACTAGGGCTAGATTAGGCAAGGGCAGAAACAGCAAGGAAGCCCTCAGCGTCGTTAACACATTCCTGTGCACTAGCTCTTTCTAAGGTCATTGCTTTCACACTGAGTCTGAGCTTTTGGGAGACAGTGGGTGTTAACTCCCCATTGTAAGACAAATTGCTAAACACTCATAATAATAATAATAATAATAATAATAATAACCTGGAGCCAGATATTGGAGTGAAAACCAAAAGATCAGAGGAATAGGACAAGCCACAGCCAACCTCACCTTACTGACTCCTCAGCCTCCAAAGACACCAACTTCCTGTATACCCATGCCTACATGCCTTTCTGTTCTGCCATCTCACTTCCTCACTCCACCCAGCTACATCACTTCCTCTTTCTGCCCAGCTCTGTCATTTCCCGTCTGTCTGTACAGATCTCCAGACCTCCATGGTTAACTAGTGTTGGAATTTAAGGCGTGTGCCACTACACCTGGCTCTGTTCCCAGTGTGGCCTTGAACTCACAGAGATCCAGACGGATCCCTGCCTCCCACAAGCTAGGATTAAAGGCGTGTGCTACCACTGCCTGACTTCTATGTTTACTACAGTGGCTGGCTTTTTCCTCTGGTCCTCAGAGAAGCTTTACTGGGGGACACAGACAAAACACCACCACTCCCCATGGCAGCATTCTATGAGCCACACTCTGGGAAGAACTATTTAGGAATAGACAAGGATCCCCAAAACACCACCATTGCCTAATGATTCCCATAATGCCACTGTGGTCTGGCAGTGCCTGGAAGGATCAAGCCGAAGCACTAAAACAAGATAAATACATGTGGCATCAACTGGAAACGAAGGGACAGCCCCACCACTCTTTTGCAAACAATATAAGAAAATCCAAGGGAATCAAATGAGATCTATTAGAACAGAAATAAACAGCAAAATATAAAAATCAATGGTTTTCACTTAAAGTAACAGTAATCCATTGGGAAATATAATAGGAGAGAATATTCCACTCATAATGTGAGTTGAAAAAGAGAGAGATCACCCAAAAGAAAAATGGGCAAAGAATATTAACAAGCAATTAACAGAAATATGCAAATGGCCAATTAACATATGAACAGATGTTCAAACTCAATAATAATCAAAGAAATATAAATTAAAACAAGATGCTATTTTCCCCTCATGAGAATTGAAATGATTAAAAACATGGGTAATGCCATATCTTGACATGAAATGTGGAGGAAAAAGACACTGTGATACAAACAGTATTACTCAAAGTCGAGACAGGAACAAAGAGCACCCTCAAGTCGGGTAAATACATGAGCATTTACACAGACTGATTCATGAGGATGTGAATACTGAGAGAGAGAGAGAGAGAGAGAGAGAGAGAGAGAGAGAGAGAGAGAGAGAGAACGAACCACGGATAGTGCTGTGCCCACTGCTACAAGCCAAAGAGGAAAGTACCTGTGACCTCCAGTCAAGGGAAGCCCTTGACAACTTCACAGGTAGAGCCAGGAGAAGCAATACCTCCAGCAGGACCATCATCTAGAAGGCAGGAAGCAGTGCTTCCAGGCTAGCCTCCCAGACACTAACAGAGGAGAGGACAAGGGATGCATGGAGAGAAGCCAAGATGCCCAGAAAAGGGCAGCGGAAAATATGCAGCACGTACATGTGGGACCAGCATAAACTAGGAAAGCCAACTTTGACAAAAAATGCTCTGTAAGTAAAAGGTTTAAACATTCAAATAGAGCAAATGTTTGATTAGGTGTTTTTAATGAAAAAAAAAAAAACATCAATCCATGGTAGTTATTTCTAAAAGGGCTAAGAAGAGAAGCTCAGGGCCCTGGCATCAGCCAGATCTAGATTTTCATCTGTTTCTAGATAGTCAATTTTGACAAAATAAAATAAAATAAATCAGGGAAAAAACAAAACTGACCTGGGGGAAAGCATTTAGTCACAGATTTTCACCACCAAACCATGGTAAATGCATTGACTTCTGAAATTAAACAGAAACGCAATTTAGAACAATGATAACAGGCCAGCTAGAGGACTCAGCATGTGAAGGTATTGGCCACCAAACCCAAGGACCTGAGTTTGATCCAGAGGACCCGCATGGTAGAAGAAAATAACTGATTCCCTAGAGCTCACACACAGACCATAAAATACACACATTAAATACAAACACACAGGTACACACACACACAAACACACAGGTACACACACACAAATAAATACACAATAAACAAAATTTAAAGAATAAAAGATGTCCAGATCCAGGGACTTGGGTCGTCCTGTTCTCTCTCTTCCCTCCACTCAGTGGCCCCCTGTCCTTTCCCAGAGTTGACCATCACTTCCTCTTTTTGGTGGCTTTACATTCTCCCGCCAGTATGATGAGTTCCACCTCTAGCCATAGGAAACACTGGCTTGTATTTTCCAAGCATTATGGTCAAAGAGGAAAAGTTCCCCTGATGTTTCAACTAAAATGATCCAGAAAATGCCACTCACAGGGCAGACATGGGTCATGTGGGTCTGGGCAGACATGGTTGACATGGTTCAGCCATGAACCAATCCCCTAGCAAAGCATGGGATAGGATGTGGCAGTTGGTCCTTTCTGGCACATATGTCCACCTTCTGAACAATATATGAAAAATTTTAATGGACATACACCCACAACCACATATTTTAAATAAAGAATAACACACACACACACACACACACACACACACACACACACACACACACAAAGAGAGTAATAATGCTATATAAATAGTAAATAGTAATCTTGGTCAAGTTATTCAATGTCCCTGAACCTCTATATAATTAAGGGGGTTGGGGCATCTTATATGATAGGGTACTGTAGAGCTAATCTAACTCTACCTTATTGTTCTTATTGTTAGCAAACGTAAAGGTCACAGGTCTGTGCCCCAAGCCAGCTTTGGCAACCTGTCTTCAATAAGCCAATTAATCAAATTAATAGTAGAAAACAGAATAAAAGAGACTTACTCGATCTAATCACATTGACAAGAGGGACAGAGAGCTCCAGTGACTTCCCCACATCATCTTCTGGGTCCTGACATGAGATCAAAGTTTAAACAGTGGACCAAGGATGTGCACACCTGAGCAGTCCCAGTCAAGGTGTGGTCCTTGTCACCACTGACCCATCACTGTCGGGCCTTCCATCTCATCTGAAGGTGCTCTGACAGATTGCTAACTGTATGAAACCTCCTTCCAGGAAGTAAGTTCCTCATTGGTCGAGCTGGAGTTTTCCCTCCAGGTCCCGCCAAGCCCTGGCAGACTGACAGCCCACTTATAAAATAAACACACAGATGCTTATATTGCTTACAAACTGTATGGCCATAGCAGGCTTCTTGTTAACTGTTCTTATATCTTAAATTAACCCATTTCTAGTAATCTGTACATTGCAACATGGCTTGTGGCTTACCAGTACCTTATATCTTGCTTGTCATGGCAGCAGCTGGCAGGTCTCTCTCTCTGCCTTCCTGTTCCCTCAATTCTCCTCTCTGTTAGTTCCACCTATACTTCCTGTCTGGCTACTGGCCAATCAGTGTTTTATTTATACAGAGCAATATCCACAACACTTCCCCTTTTCTTCTTTTTCAAAAAGGAAGGTTTTAACTTTAACATAGTAAAATTATATATAACAAAACAATTATCAAGCAAGAATTACACTTACAATATTAAAGAAGATATCCTATCTATCTTATATTTGTGAGTTTAAGGTTTTATATCTAACTTATCTTTATCATAACTAAGGGAAATTGTAACTATCTAGCTTCAACTACATCAAAGACCTCAGCTAAGACATTTCCATTTGGAAGTTTGTCTTCTTCTTGGCACAAAATGGCCTACTGGGCAAAGAACTGCCCTTGCCTCGACTGCTGACATTATGAATGCCGTCCTTTCTGGACAAGCAGGACACAAGGAAAGCGACCACTGTACTCTGCCAAGACAGGGTAAGATGGTCTTTCAGAATTGCTGCTTCTGAAAATGGTCTGTCAAATACTCTAAGCCTGTAGCCAATTTGAATGCACCAACAATGCTGAGAAATATTAGGTGACTGTCCAGGCTGCCAGCTGCCTCAATCTACTCTTGCAAGATTCCCGAAAGTTGCTTGCATCCTCCATTTCTCAGGTACCATTATGTTCCTTCTCAGGTCTTTGATGGGACTGAAGACTAGCAGTTATAATTACAACTTAATATATATATATATATATATTCTTAGATAGAACATATTAAGTATTAGATTCAGGTTCTTTAGGATAGGACACCTTTTGGAATGATCTTTGTAACATGCCATTTACCTACACTCTAGACTTCTCTGGATTTTAGTATGTGTTTCTTGCTTGATATTGTTCACATTGATTATAGTTCCATCTTATCTAGGTCATTATCCCTCATTACTCCTGGACAATATTTGATAACCATTCCTTTGTATATAGTCTTGTATTAGGTTAGAACCTTCTTATTTAGACAAAAGGGGGAGATGTAGTGGGTAGCCATTCCAACTTTAATCTGGAAGTTCCAACCCCCATTGAGGCTTCTGTAACTGTCACACCTACAAGGCAGGGCCAAGAGAGGACCTTGAAGACCCAAGATCCGGATGCACCACTTCTCTTGGTTCCTGGACCCTGGACGCTGGAGGTAGATCGAGCAGAGTTCTCCAGAGAACACCGCCGGACTGCGCCAGACTGTGCTACGTCTTCCCCAGACCCTGCTACCTACCTATCCCTTCATTTGTAAGTTACGCCACTAAATAAACCTCCCTTTTAACTACGTGGAGTGGCCTTAATAATTTCACCAATACACTGGCTGGGCTTTACCTTCAGCTTACATGTAATTCCTGGGGAAATGCCATTCTTTTAGGGTCCATTGTTTCAACAGTCTGATATTCAGATTGAGAGCCACAAGTATCTTCTTTTCTGCAGGCCAGTTACATTATTGTCCTTGCAGTTCATATTATTTTATTTTCTAAAAGAACATACATTGCTTTTAAACAAAAGAAAGATTTCTTCATAGTAGCCAACAACATTAATTGCAGAAGAGTCATCACTTATATTTATTATTAACAATTTAAAATTTGAATTGCCTTTAGAGTTACCATTTACAAAATACCTGATATGCTGAT